GACATTGGATGGAACCAACTATAATGGCTAGATGCGCAACATCAAGATGGCCCTTCGTTTCGAGGACAAAGAGTATGTCCTTGAGAAAGAGTTCAATGAAATTGACGAAGAAAAGGCCACTCCTGAAGAACTGGCCGCCTACAAGAAGCACTACAATGACGCAACAAAAGTTGCTTGCATCATGGTGGCCACGATGACTCCTGAACTGCAGAGATACTATGAAGATTACTGGTCATATGAGATGAACAAGGACTTATGGAAAAGTACCATAAGCAAGCTTGTCAAGAAAAGTACGAAGTGGTAAAGTCCCTCATAGCAAGAAAGACGAAAGAGGGAGAATCTGTTAGCAGCTACGTGCAAAGAAAGCAACGATATGTGGATCAGCTTGTCAAGTACAATGTGAATATTGATTAGGAGTTGGTTATTGACATAGTCTTAAACTCCTTACCAAGTTGTTATGATCAGTTCATCTTGACCTATCATTTGAACAACAATGAGACCACTTTGTCTCAATTGCACAACCTCCTACGAACAACTGAAGCAAGGATGAAGGGAAAAAGTGTTATCTCCACTCCTGCTAGTGATCCCGTTTTCGCCACTGGTCAAGGGAAATGGAAAAAGAGGAAAGGTCCTCCAAATCAAAACTAGAAGGGAAAGTCTCAAGTTGGGTCGTCAAGCAATGGACCCAAAGGTAAATCCAATTTTGATGCTCCCCCTGTCTCTGATCCCAAAGAGACCACTTTCTTCTACTGCAATGACAAAGGGCATTGGAAACGAAGATGCCCAAAGTATCTGCAAGACATTAAAGATAGCAAGGTGAAGCCAATTTCTGCAGGTATATACATTATCTTATCTAGTAACTCATCATCTTCTCGTTCTTGGGTCCTTGATACAGGATGTGGATTTCACATTTGTTCTGATTTGAAGGGGCTAAGAATAAGTGAGGAGGTGGAGCATGGTATAATAAACTTGATCATGGGGAATAGGCGATCTTCACCTGTCTCCAGGATTGGAGTTTATAGTCTAGTGCTTAGTGATGGATTTAGTTTAGATTTATTAAGTTGTTGCTACTCGTTAGAAATGACACGATATATTATTTCCTTTCATGCACTGTTTAAACAAGGTTTTAGATATTCTTTTAATTATGAGAATGGTTCTATTTCTGCTTATAAAAAATGGTATTTTTATTTTGAATCTTTTCCTTGTGATGATGTGTATGAAAAATGTGATGTGTGTAGACAGTTTAGGCGATAGTGTATTTCAAATTGATTCGTCTAATGGTATAGACAAAGCGTGCTTGTGGCATTGTCGTCTTGGACACATTAGCAAAAAATGCATCATCTAACTCCAAAAGGATGGAGTGTTGGAATCATTTGACCTAAGGTCAGATGATGAATATGAATTTTGTCTTTTGGGTAACATAAAATATCACCTTTCACTAATTCTTGTGAAAGAAGTGAAGGTTTGTTGGACCTCATATACATAGATGTGTGTGGGCCCTTCAGATCCACCACAAGGGATGCTAATCAATTCTATGTGACTTTTACTGATGATTATAGCAGATATGGTTATATCTACTTAATCAAGCATAAGTCAGAAACCTTTGAAAAGTTCAAAGAGTTTAAACATAAAGTCGATAATCAACTTGGTAGGAAAATAAAGATGCTCCAATCAAATAGAGGTGGAGAGTATCTTAGTATCAAGTTCCATGACTACCTCAAGGAATGTGGAATAGTTTCACATTTGACACCTCCTAGGACACCACAACTTAATGGTATGGCTGAGATGCGCAATCGAACCTTGTTAGACATGGTTTGTTCCATGATGATTCAAGCTTCTCTTCCAATTTCATTCTGGGGGTATAACTTAGAGACTACCGCCCACATTCTTAATCTTGTCCCAACTAAGAAGATTGCCAAAACACCTCATGATATGTGGACAAGGAAGGTTCCCTTGTTAGCACATATCAAGGTTTGGGGTTCTGAAGCTTTCGTTAGATGAGAGACTCATGAAAAGCTTCAACCTCGAAGTGAGAGATGTATTTTCATCGGCTATCCATAGAAGTCCTTTGGATATTTGTTCCACAGACCTAGTGAGAATGTGGTCTTTATAGCACGAAGGGGAGTCTTAAGAGAGAGAGAGACAGAGAGAGAGAGAGAGAGCTTATATGCAAAGAGGAAAATGGGAGTACAATTGATCTTAAAGAGATTCAAGAATCAGACGATGAAGGAACCTCTAAAGACACTAGGGTTCAACTAGAGGAAGAAATTCTAGTTGAACTAGTTGATGAGTCATTACCTCTTAGGCATTCTAGTAGAGTTAGAATGCCACCTGAGTTCTATGGTTTCCATATAACTTCAGATGGTGATACGTTTATAAGTGATAGTACAATGGTAAATTTAGATGAACCGACTAACTACAAGGAAGCAATTGCAGGCCCTGAGGCGGCCCAATGGAAAGAGGCAATGGAAAGCGAGATCAAGTCCATGTATGAAAACCAAGTTTGGAATTTGGTTGATAATGTACCACGTCGTAAGACAGTTAGGTACAAATGAATCTTCAAGAAGAAGACCGACATGGATGGAAATGTACACACTTTTAAGGCTTGATTGGTTGTGAAGGGATTTACTCAAACCCCAAGGGTTGACTATGATGAGACCTTCTCACCGGTGGCTAAGATAAAATATATTAGGATAGTTATCGCCATAGATACAGTTCATGACTATGAAATTTGGTAGACGGATGTAAAAACCTCTTTCCTTAATGGGAAGTTGGCTAAGGATGTTTACATGAGTCAGCGAGATGGTTTTGTTGATGTAATGTTTCCCAATAGAGTGTGTAAGCTTGAGAAATCAATCCATTGATTAAAACAAGCTTCACGCAGATGGAATCTTTGCTTTGAAGAGAAAGTCAAGGAGTTTGGCTTCTCCAGAAGTGAAGATGAGTCTTTTATATATGTCAAAGCTAGTGGGAGTATAGTAACCTTCCTCGTATTGTATGTTGATGACATACTTATTATAGGAAACGAGATTCCAACTTTGCAAGAGATTAAGTCTTGGCTTGGAAAGTGTTTCGCTATGAAGGATCTAGGAGAGGCTTGGAAAGTGTTTCGCTATGAAGGATCTAGTGTTTCGCTTAGAATTCTTAGAGACAAGAGTAGAAGACTAACAAGACTTAGTGTCACACCCCCGACCAAGGTGGAACATGTCGGGAGTGCGACTAAGTTCATGGATGACAAATAAACTGAATATATAGCACAAGTACAACGATAAAAAAACAACATTTGTATTCCATCATTAAGTTTGAATACAAGATTCTTACAGATAATAATAGTATAGTAGTTGCCTTAAACAGGTAAGCAGATAACAAAAAGTAGATAGGTAGGTCGTCTATAATCCATGACCCATCTTCTGCATGAACGCTTGTCTAATGATCTCCTGAGAATACATGTAAGTTTGAGGGTCAACACAAAGGTTGGTGAGTGTCACGGGTTTTCTAAAATAATGATACTTTTAATATGATCTAAAAAGTATTGCCTTTGTCGTAAGTAAAATTGTGTTTTGAAATGTCTGATAAAGATATAAATCTAAACTGTGGTTTCTAGATAATGAAATCTAGTTAAAGTTTATAGTGACAAAATTGTACAGATAACGGATAAACATGCATACGAATATACTGATAAAGTTATCTGCCAAGGTTGTAATTAACAACTGCAGATACGGATAAACGGATGGAAGACAAGTATAATTGATAAGTGTAAACATAAAGTCTACGATACTTGTTTAAACAGTTGATAAAAGTTAGGGTAGTGTACACAAGCACATATATGAGCCTAAGATACAAGTTCTATAACTTGTATAAATATATAAAGCTATATATTTTTGTGTATGTATGAGGTATATTGAAACTACCAAGTTGATAATCGTCTATATAGTCATAGCACATTTGCAGTCGGAAAGTATATGTTATTTTTAGTAGTTGTATCATTTTAACGACATAACATATATTGATATTGAGGTTTAAAACTAACTTGTTTACTTATAACATATAAGCGTTTAAGCAAATATTTCACAAACTAGTAATGTGTTTGCACAAAATAATGATATTTCATGTGTATTTTGTATGATAAATATTACTTAGTACACATACTACCTTGTACAGACGAGGACCAGACATGAAACACCGGAGGGCAGGATCATTTTAGCAATTAAGCCGTTCTGAAATCCAACAATCCTATGCGGCCCTTCAAACCAGATTCCCCGTACCGTAAGTAGTAGAGTAGTAAATAATATTTTTGTGTGATTTATATCGCATAAAAATAATCATGTTGTTTGTATAAACAAAATATTTAGAAACATGTATATATATATATATATATATATATATATATATATATATATATATATATATATATAGAGAGAGAGAGAGAGAGAGAGCTAGGTTCAGGTATTAAAAGTAATTATTGTGTTATTGTATGCATCAATGCGGGCCAATCAAAATAAAATAAATAATTAAATAATTAAATAAATAAATAAGGGTAATTTAGTAATTTGTTTAGTAACTTCCAAAAATAATGCCTATATTCATGGTATACCTAAATAAATAAGGTTAATTTAGTAACTTCCAAAGATAATGCCTATAATCATGGTATACCTAAATAAATAAGCGTGGTCCCCTCTCAGTTTCATTCTCCAATGTCGTACAGTCTGCAAATCATGGAATTCCCTCGTCACAAGCAACGATTTCATCTCCGCTCATCACAATTTAACCAAATCGATCATCGAAAACGGAAATCAAACGCTATTGATCAGGTCTTTCGATCGAAAATGGAGGTATGTTGATTTTGGTTTCACAGGAAACCCTAAATTTGTATATTGTCGCAATCTTCTTGATATTCGTTTTTGCCATTACAGGACACGTGATTCAAGGGTGGGACAATGGTATCAAGACTATGAAAAAATGCGAAAAATCCCTTTTTACAATTCCTCCCGCTCTTGCATATGGTGAATCTGGATCGCCTCCCACTATTCAATTCTACAGTTCACTATGTTGGAAGTTTACTCGATGGAACTCGATTTGATTCAAGCCTCGATCGGGAGCTGCCATTTAAGTTCAAGCTCGGGCTTGGTAAGAGTAATTCTGAGCAATTTCACACGATAATTCTTCTTTCTAAATTAGTAATCGTATTTGGAACATTACCCATGAGTCGATTTCTGCAATCTTCTTGATATTCGTTTTTGCCATTACAGGACACGTGATTCAAGGGTGGGACGATGGTATCAAGACTATGAAAAAAGGCGAAAAATACCTTTTTACAATTCCTCCCGCTATTGCATATGGTGAATCTGGATCGCCTCCTACTATTCCTCCTAATGCATATGGTGTTTTTTTCGTGCTTTGTCAAAAGCTGTGAAAACAATGAAGAAGGGAGAAAAAGCCCTCTTCACACTGAAGCCACAATGTGAGATTTTCATTTTTTGAATTTGAATCAACACGAAATTATAGTTTATTATATTTCATATTCACAAGATTGAAATTATAGTTTATTATATTTCATATTCACAAGATTGAATCTTGAAGGGCTTTTTCATCATTTTTGGTATCAAGACGATAGTATATTCTAGCAGAATGTATTCATACAGAATGCCATTGACATTGTGTTCTTAAAGAATGGAGGCATGTTAATATAATTATTGGTAAATGAATTCAGATTCTATCCGAATGGAATCACGAATTCCAATTATGTTGGAGTGGAATATGGATATTTTCTCACTAATTTATTTATTGGATTTGTTTCCACAGAAGCTGATGCTTGAAGAACGGACCACGAAATTTGAACGACGCCTCTTAGCAACATTATTCTTTTAGAATGAATTACCGTCTTTGTTAGATTTTGATGTTTTTTTTTTCAAGATTTAAAAGTTTTTTTTAGTTTTGTTCTTTAACAATAAATGTAATTCTTAGTAATTGTTACATGTATTCTATAAGAATTAATGTACTTTTTGTTTTAATTCTTAAATTGATGGTTCGAGAATTTTGTTATTCTACAAGAAATTTTTAAAGTCATGACAAGAAATATGTTCAAAAATATTTTTATTATTTTATGGTTCAAGAATATTTTTATTTTTGAACATACTCAAACATATTCTGTCAGAATGTCCGAATCTAAAACTTTATAATTCATAAAATCGGATTTTTAAAATTAATAGAATCTATGATTGCATAAAAATATGCAAATTTCCTTTATTAAATTTATATTAATTGACTAAAATACCCTTCTAGTTAAAATAGATGGTATTTTTGAATTATATTTAATTCAATAATATGTAATAATCACTTACTTAAAATAAGTAAAATTGATTGGCCCACATTTATGCATACAATAACACAATAATTACTTTGAATAGAATAACCTAAGCCCATATATATATATATATATATATATATATATATATATATATATATAGTAGAAGTAGTACATGTACCCCCCCCCCCCCCCCGAAAATATATAAAAGTGGGGTCGTAACACTTACCTTAAAGTGCGATTGACGATTTCTTTTCGGGAATGGATGGAGAAGATAGAGATGTATTGTCGTGAACGCGGTATTCCGAGATAATTTAGTTTCCTAAAGAAATAATATCATAAATTAATATGTGTAAATGATTGGGTATTTTTTTACTAAGTATAATGACTAATTAATTTTCCAAGTTTTATTATTTCAAAATTTATTAAAATAATTAATTTAAATAAATTTTATCTAAAAAATTATTTTAATATTTTCCAAAATTTGTAAATAAATTCAAAATATAATTAATTAATTAAATGAGACTAGGTTTGTCAATAATTTCCAAATAAGGGGCTAAATGGTTTTTATTAAATTCTAGGGTTGCTTTTTGGATTTAATTTGCAAATAAATCTCAAGGGAGGGGGTAAAATAAATAAATGAAATGGTATTTTTACTGATTTGGACTTCCTTTTCATAAAAATTTGGATTGAGGGTAGGTTGTGATTATTTTAAAATGAGGTTTAAAGAGTCTAGGACTTGTTTTGTAAGGAATTTAAAAATATGGGTAAATTGAATTTATTTTGTATCTATGTTTGAACAGTGGATCGTGTTTCATAACAGGAGGTATATACCTCTTGCCCAGTGCCTTAATGCTGGCTAGAAATATGTGATAGGGGTAATTGGGAAATGTCTTGGGCAGAAAAGTGGCAGCTTGGACCAGTTGAATTTGACCGGGTTACAAATTTTGTATACTATTGTCCAAGATAAGGATCGAGAATTTGCTCAGTTATTCTTTGATCAGCTGGTCGAGTGCATTAGTGGCAATAAACGACCTACTATGTGCGATATCCTCGTTTGATTGCTCTTCTTCTGGATCACGCTGGGATGGGATAGAACATCAATCATGGGGAATCTATTCCATCTCCAACTTTATCCTCCAAAATTATTAATGCTGGACCAAAAGAAGGAAATATTCACTTGTTCCAACAGATGCTTCTTTGGACAGAACATACTTATACTGCTAAGGATTCATATGAAGCTCCAACGTCAGACTCTCAAGATGACAATGATAAAGATGAAGAATCAAACTCCTCCAGCGACTCCAGTGCCACTTCTCCTTATAACAGTACAAATACTGAGTTGGTTCATGTACCTGATCAAGAAACAGAGATTGTTGCTCCTTCATCCATTCAGTTTGTATTGGGTGAAAATGATGATGAAGATGAAGGCTCTTTATCAAACCCTCCTATACTAGCCAGGGTCTCTCCCCCAAGACTATATACACATATTTGTTTTCCTTCCTCCTCTTTATCTCCCTCTCCTTCACCTAAACCCATTACACAACATGGATCAACTCCTCCACAAGCTGGTACATCCACTTAATCATCTTTAGTTGAAGCCATCAGACAGCGTGGATTAACACCCCCTCACACTGATTATTCTTCTTCTAGCTTTCGCCTCACCTCAACCATCTACATTTCAAGTTGTTGATGCTTCACCATGGTAATCTCCTCTTCAAGTTGCTGCTACTTTTCAGGGGGGGGGGGGTTCAAGTTTACCTGATTTCCAATCAATGGTGCTTTCGAAGCTTACTCTGTTGGTTAACTTGACTGAGTCATTAGGACAGCTTCTGAGCAATCTTGAGGCTTGTAGCTCACATAAAGTGCATCGTATCCATGGTAGATGACACTGAAGATATTTTTGATTCTCCGTCTAGCTCTCAGCACAATGATCAGCCACCACCACCACCACCACCACCTCCGCCTACTGGTAACAATCCTCGAGCTCCACTTTAACCTCCTCCTCCATCAAATCTTCCTTCCACAACCCTATCCTCTGCTTAACACTTCTCCAGTCTCCTCAAAATATTGATGATGCAAAAAAGGAGGAGAATGATAAAGAAATAGTAGTACATGCTGATAATTCTTAACATGATGATGATCAGCCTGATACTGATGATGATGAAGGTGTTTTGGATATGCATTGCATGTCACGAGCTGTGCCTCTAAACATTATTTATCTAGAAGCTATTCCTGAGAGGGAGATTCCCTCAAGGAGTTGATAGTGATGTTGAGTCTGATGACGATCATCTTATCATAAGGAAAAGGAAGACCACCTCATCCTCATAGGCAGTTCATGATGCTAATGGTGAAGGCTCCTATGCTCCTCCCAGCAAGAAAATGAAGCTCACAGGCAATCTAGACACATTAGCCAGGGACTGGAGATTGCCAGTTGAGGAGGCCAAACAAATTATCACTTAGCATAATGCCTCTAAGCAACAGAAGAATGTTGAACGTCGTTCCTCTAAACTTGCACTAAAGTATGCCTGTACTGAGGAAGGTATTAATGAACAATGTTTAAATCTTCAGTGCTGCAACAACATAGTTGATCAATGAAAAAGGGCTTTGGAGATGAATTCTCGCATTGACAGAAAGAATTTTGAGAACATTCTAGATCGACGAATTAAACTTAGCCCCATAATCAAGGTCAGGTGCTTTAAACCCAAGAATGAATCATTAAAGGTTCATTTAATCAAAAGGAAGACCGAGTATGAATATACTGAAATTGTGTTTGCTCGAGAATTGGTCAAGTATAGTTACATCGACTGGATTCAGATTCAGAATTTAATATCCAATCATAAAGGTATTGATGCTCAGGAGCTGAAGTTGGCACTCCAACAAATGATCTCTAAAGTAAAGAAGCTAAATTTAGTGCCTTCAACTTTTCCCTCTCAGTATTCTTCCTCAACTTCAGCTCCAAGACAAAGGGAGTCCAAAAATGCAAAGTTTCTTCTTCCTTTTGGCACTGTCTACATCAATAACAGGTTACCAGTGGGTGTCGAGCCAATTCAGCATTTGTTCATTTGAGTGGCATTTTCTATCTCGATGAACAAAATCATATGTGCTTTCAACACAGTGAAGAACTTCACATTGCTCCCCCTGAGTATCTGTTTCATCTTTGCTTGGAGTGTATAGGTCATGAAGAAGTAGAACAAGATTATCATTACGTATCTCACTGTAACTAAGCAAGCGTATTGAAGAGCTTAAAGGAGATAACTTCTAGTGGATGAAGCAAGAAATTTTGGATGAAGTTGACGATTTCAATTAGAGTTAGTTTTGACATCATCATATTTGGAGATATTGTAAGGTCGAACCTTATAATCTTATGAGTCAAGTACTAATGCATGCTGACCATCAGCTCCAACGTCAGTGCCATCACCAGCGTTAGCTCATGTATCTCACATCCAGTGTTAGCTTGTTACCTTTTGTTGTTATTTCTGTTTGTACTATGTAATTATAGTAATATTAGTTGTTAGCTAACTGTCCCTCGATCTTAGTGATTAGGAGCAGTTTGTATATTTATATTAGAATCGATCCCGTTAATTTCAGGATTGATTGTTGCTAGTTGAACTATATATTCTTGTAATTGGGTTGTTCTCATTGCAACCCTCATCACCGCTTTGTGTTGATTCTCTTTGTGAGAATCATTTCTTAGTGAAAACATCTTTGTGATGACTTTGTGTCATTTTCTATTGTTCGTTTACTTGTTTGTATCCAATCTATGAACCTTCATTAATCTTATCAAGACAAGAACATAGATTATGGTTATAGAGGAAGTACTAACATTCTGAGAATAAATAAACCAAAGAATGTGCAAGATAGAAGGAGAAGGAATTGAGGAGTTCACAGAACCAATCTTCCCAAAATCACCACTAAGCTTCATAGATCACTCCAAGCCTTCACGTAAGGAAACCCTATATTAAAAGAGTGTTCTCATGATGATGTAGACTGTAAAATAATATGAGAATTCGTCAGTTAGGTTTAATTCGATAATAAGGCTAAAAATTTCATTTTAGACCCTTAAACTTGGCCAAAATGTCCCTTTCACCCATTATTAGGTTCAAGGTTCATAATTTCACACTTTGGGCTCCAAAAACCCATTTAAAGGTCATCAAATGTTGTAAGAAAAATGATAGTAACATAACAGAAAACTAACCAAGTTAACAAAAGGAAATTTAGGTCATTACAATTGTCCCCCACTTAAGAGGATTCCGTCATGGAATCAGGTACCGGCATGAATAGCCGAGTATAGTGTACCTTCATTTCATCGTCAACCTCCTCGATCATATTTTCCCCATGCTTTTTCTTCCATTGGACTTGACAAGCTTATCCTATTTATTAGGTAGTTTCTTTGTTCATCGATTCCGTATTGCCACCAGTTTATCTATCGACCATCTTGTCTTATTTACCTGAATCTCCTCTAACGGTAGAATACTTGGGTCCTCCGTTAAGCATTCCCATAAGCAGTTGACATGGAACACTATGTATCCCATATATTTCTTATGGTGTCTCCAATCTCTAGGCATATCCCAAATCTATCCAAGCATAGTGAATGAACCAAGTAAATGAGGTCCTAAATTACCGTGCTTCCTGAACCATATAATCCCCTTCCAATGTAAGATTTTCAACATAAACTTTTCTCCATCATCCAAGGTATTCAACCTTGAAGTTACTTCCAAAATCTCATGGATTGAAATCGAGGCCCAATATAATGCTTAAACACAAATGGATCAAAATGATTTACTACTACGACATTAGAATTTGAATAAAATTGACAAATTAGAAATGAAAACAAGTTAACAACCCCATAGGGATTCTTTTATTCGAGAGATAATTGATAGTGATAATTTCAAGGTAACTAAAGTCCCCACGATAGATAAAGTTATGGATCGTCTAGTGAAGCCTATTTATCATGTTGTACATGAGCGACACATGTGTAAGATACGAATGCAAATTCTATCTTCTTGGACGTAGTATGACTAGGTTAATAATATATTATATATTCTAATATGGACACTGTGAAACTTTTTTATGATTTAAAGTGTTAAACATAAGTGTAATTCTGTTTAAGTTAATATTCTTATATGTATGTTTAAGTATCTTCAAAATTTTAAAATATCATTGTAGATGTCTATAGAAACTCTTTGTTATAGTAATCACAAAGGAGCTCTAAATCTATTGCTAAATATCAATTGATATTTGTTATACGGATATGGAAAATAGTTCCATGGAATTCACTAGTTATTGCTAAGAGCAAAATTTAGGACAATGCATGGTAATGAAATCACTTCATGGATTAAAATCAAAAACTAATTATTGATTAGTTGCATTATATTTTCCTTAGACCTTGGATGCCTAACTACAATCTCAACACAAAAATATGGTAGCTACATATGTTCGAGGAACAACGAAAGCATGTATTGAGATGTAAAAAATAAAATTAATATTTTCCTCTTTAATTTAATAGATGTGGACGGGACCTCTCAATGAATGGTATTGAACAAATATGCAGAATCATGCTCAAATGTTGTCACACTTGTCTCGGTGATAATTCTTAATCAATAAACAAAATTTTTGAGTAGATAATGTTGATTTGATCCATGCTTTACGCTTGACACAAAACATTATATAGATAAAGGTAAGCATGATGGACCGATCTTAGTTCACCATATGTCAAATAGCTATGAAAGACAACTTACTCAGTTGAATTGGGTGGCAGGGGACATTATAGCTAGAATTACTTAGAGTCTTTGACTTCGCTAGAATGTTATGTCTTGTATAAACATAATGTTGTCACTGTATGTACATAATTAGTCATAAATTATTTACATTACTACCATATTATCTACTTGATCATATTGGGGTTGCCAATAGGAAATATAGTGGATGGTATGATATTATCTAGTATTAAATGAGCACTTATAAAAAGCTATAACTTCCAAGCACTTAAAAGAATAAAGAAAAAACTAATTATTAAATAACAAGAAGAAAATGGGGTGGGCCTTGAGAAGGCTCCTCCAATAATTTTTGGTTCAAGGAAAAGATGCTTCTAAGGGGATATTTTGTCCATATCATGAATAAGGGGCTCAAACCTCTTATCCAGGAAACTTTGTATTACTTTATATCAAGGTTATAAAAAAACATTTGACGTTAGCTAGTCGGTAGACTAGGATTAAGAGATTAATCATCTAGAAAGGGATTAAACGAGGACCATAAACTGTTAACTCATTGAAATGATATATATATATATATATATATATATATATATATATTATATATATATATATATATATATCTATATATATATATATATATATATATATAATATATATATATATATATATATAGGCTTAGGTTATTCTATTCAAAGTAATTATTGTGTTACTGTATGCATAAATGTGGACCAATCAAATTTACTTATTTTAAGAAAGTGATTAATATATATTATTGAATTAAATATAATTGAAAAATATCATCTTAATTAATTACAAGGGTAATTTAGTCAATTAATATAGATTTAATAAAGGAAAATTGCATTTTTTAAGGGATCATAGATTCTATTAATTTTAAAAATCCGATTTTACGAATTATAATTTCTTTTAATTCGGACATTCTGACAGAATATGTTTATGAGTATATTCAAAAATAAAAAATATTCTTGAACCATAAATAATAAAAATATTCTTGAACCTATTTCTTGATCATGACTTTAAAAACTTCTTGTAGAATAACAAATTCTTAAACAATCAATTGAAGAATAAAAACAAAAAATACATTATTTCTTATAGAATACGGGTAACAATTGTTAATAATTACATTTTATTGTTAAAGAATAAAACTAAAAAAACTTTCAAAACGGGAAAGAAAACATCAAAATATAACAACGACAGTAATGCATTCTAAAAGAATAATGTTGCTTAGAATCACTTTCAATTTTGTGGTCCGTTCTTCAAGCATCAACTTCTGTGATTCCAACAAAATTTGAATTCGTGATTCCATTCCAACAGAATTGGAATTCATGATTCCATTCGAATAGAATTGGAATCTCACCAATTCCAACCACACATGGCTCCAAAATCCTCCAACTGCAGAATGTGCCAATACGTCCTTCTGGGGTGCCCATTTTACGATCAAACCTTTCACCTTCATCTCACTTACCAAATCCTCCGGCAAAAACTCAATCCAATCACACCCATGAACCGAACCCGGTCGAACCACCCATATGAACGGCTGGTTACTGTTGGCTAGGCCCCATGTCATGTCAGTCGCCACTTTTGCATCCATGGTTGCTAAGCTTCCTACACTTGCGTAAATTACTGATTTGGGTGATTGTTTATCTAGCCATGAAATGCAATTGGTATCTTCTTCAAGAAAACTATCGGAAGGGGTTGGTGATGTTCTGTGTAATGGGCCGATGGTAAAAACTGGAACTTGGTAGCGATGGAGGATCTGGGTAGCGATGGTGGATCTGGGTTAGTGCCGATTGTTCAATAAATTCGATGGTGTTCCATATGAAAGCAATTGGGTGTGTTTTTTAGGAGAACAATGTTGTCAATTTTAGGCTTTGTTGTGTTGTGAGGCCAATAAATGGTATATCTTTGTATCTGAGTGGATGGAGTCCCGGAACCATTTCCTGCAGCAAAGAATCTTGAAGACAGAATTTATTATCTCGATCTATAAATTATAATTTGTGATCAGATTTTCTTTTAGGTTGTGTTTGTTTGTGTGGGTTTTTGATCTGCACTTACCTTCTACAGGGAATCGACCTTCTTTATGGAGCTGAGGGATGATTCTGTAAGCAAGAACACAGGCTGCACTGCTGCTGCGCACTATGATGGAGGGTAGACCTAGATCGTCGACGATTGATCCGACACAAAACATGAGATTATCATGGATGATAACGATTGATTCCTTTTGAGATGAGGCCTTTTGTGCATCTATGACCTGGATGAGGTGTTTGTGAAGATGGGGTTTGTAGTTATCGTTTAGAGCTTGCAAGAACTGAATGAAGCCGGAAGAGCCGCCGGTGTCAGATAATTTGTCCGACAAAGGGAGGAAGATGAAGTCAGGGTGATTAGAAGGGTCTGGTGGGTTGAGCTCCGAGTGAGCAAAGGTTATGGAGAACCCTTTGAAATGAAGGTATGAGGATGGAGGTGACGGCTGGAGATTGTTTAATTACGGTTACGGTTTACATTGGAGGTGGTTTTAAAAAGCTAAAGATGGTTGGAGAAAACCTAGGTAGCTGAAGTCAATGGTTACCATAATTATAGGATATTATTTGTGGAAACTAATTATCAAATTACCTATTTACCCTTATTTATTTATTTAATTATTTATTTTTATTTTAAATTTTGATTAGCCCACAATTATACATACAATAACACAATAGATACATTAAACACATGAACCTATCTCTCTCTCTCTCTCTCTCTCTATATATATATATATATATATATATATATATATATATATATATATATATATATATATATGACTAATATCATAACAAAGTTCGTAAATACCACTAATATGATAACAACATAAGTTAATATAATTAATACAATAGTAATCATTACTCAAATAGTTGCTAATGAGATAGAAATTCTTCAAAGTGTTAAAATTTCATCATTTGTTACTGCTTCAATTATTCTATAGGTAGCGATTAATCGCTAAGCGCCTTCTAGTCGGTTGGGTAGCATCTACAATTAATGAGAGATTAATCGGGACCTAGTCGGGGTTTTTACAACACTGCTTCATATTTAATTGTATGATCATTGTCTCTTTAATACAATCTTGGGTTCGTCTTTGCCCGATTCTAGAGATCATCCATAGCATTTCTTTCTTGTTCTTGAGTACATGGATTGATTATTCGTGAGGAATAATTTTGTAGTTCTAGCTGATTGTCGTGGTATGAAGACCAGTCTCGTGTGTGTAAGTTCGGTAGACGGGAATAAGTTAATCCTAATACTTTCGTTGAATTCAAACCTATAACAACCAAACTAACGCCTCTATGTAAGTTTCCTTCTTTGTTCATCTTTGTGGTTGATTTTATGTTTTCATAATTCATTGGTTGATTCATTACGTGCAATGATTTCAGTTATATTTATTTATTTAGCATGTTTGTATATTAATTGTTATGATAACTTTTTTTTTGAACGACTAATATATGCATCCATTAACCTACTTTTAAATCTACACCGCGAAACTTAAACTATTAACCTTTAGCCGATGGGCATCTTTCCGATGACTCCGGAGACTGCTAGACTATAAGCATTTTAGTAATTGTTTGATAACTATAAAAGAGAATGAACGGCTTTGTATTTCTTCATAAAGAGCGTCATTTAAAATGGGGATGATTAAGATAAGCGACTAAGCGTAAGCTAAGTATAGTAAATACGCATAATCTACTCTAATAAATAAAGGTTTTTTTTGCCACATGTCACACTCTCATTCAATTTGCCAAATGTCATTTTGTGGCTATTTTGAATTAATTTCTTTTCCACATGTTATTTTATGGGTTTTTCTATTTTAATAAATTCTACATAATACTTTAATGTAATAATTACAATAAATCTCTCTATTCTAATAAAAGAATAGTTTTATTTTCCTTTTGACATGTGTCACATTATTAGGCCTCCTAATTAATGCATATCTTAATCTCCTTTTGTCACGTGTCACCCTTTTATGTCTTCTAATTAATGAATGTCATTTGTCAACTTATTGATTCTCCATTTCAAAATTTAAATTTCTCATTCTAATTATATTAAATTAATAACATTAGAATAAAAATTAAAATAAAATTAATACAAATTATAAAGTGATACAATTTCACATATTTATTTAAATCAATGATTAAAATTTATATAACTAAAAAAATCTCTTAATTAATAATTTATTTAAAATAATTGATTAATAATTTTCAGTTTTTACTATAAAAGTTTAATTACTTATGTAACCGTGGTTCCCATGGGTTATAAACTAATATAGGAATAAATGAATATCAATTTCATGAATAGACTTACCTTTTTATTTCAAAATTCTCAAATTAAAGCTCATTAGTTTATTTTGTTTATTTATTTAAATTTAAAAGAAAAAAAAATTAATTTTAATAATTCATTATTTTTCTTATTTTCTTATATATCCAAAGTTCTTAAATATTTAAACTTTATATTTAATTTTTTTAATTAACCCATATAATAAATAGGTCTTACACCTAGTTAGTAATAAATACATACACTATCAAAGATGATAAGAAAGGAGATATATGCTCCGTTTGTTGGAGCCCAATTTCGATTAGTGGTTAAATACAACATTTACATTTGCGTATGTATTGGTTTGAAGGTAGGAAGTTTTTTTTTTTTTTTTTTGAAAGAGCCAAAGCTCAGTAAACTTTATTAAAAAGAATAAAAGAATACAAAAAAAAACTAACATCTAAAAAACATAACCTAACAATATCCAACCTATCCAAAGCCAACTGCCTAACCATTTTTTAAACAACCAAAAATCCCCAAAGGTAACCCAGACAAGTATACTAACCCTAAGACTAGCCCAAGGACTTATTAGAGGTGGGTAAAAAGGTAACTGTTGAGTGTGAATCCACAGAAAAGTTAGTCAAAAATGTTGATTAAAAAGGAATGGTGATCCGATTCTTACGGACCATGTTTTGAGGCTTTTTTCTTAAAGTCTGGTTGAAGACCCGGCTGTGTTTTTTTTTTTGACTACTTCTGATTTCCATCTCTATATAAGAGATTACTCTGTATTTTGTAAATAAAAGAAAAACCAACATCACTGAAGATAAATAAAAACTCCAAGTTACCCTCGTGTGGACGTAGGTCAGAAATAGACCGAACCACCTTAAATCTTTGTGTTCTTGTTAATCTATAATTCGTGAGCTGAGAGAGAGAGTTTCGTGTTCGTGTCTCGATCCTAACAAGTGGTATCAGAGCGTTGGTTTAGCTCCAGAAGGGGATTTTCAGTTTTTTGGTCGAAATTTGTTTTCGTCAAAAACGATTTTGGTGTATACCGTTGGAAATGTCTCGTTCCGAAGATTCCGAAAATATTTTTTTCTGAATTTTTCGACCACCGGAAGACGTCCAAATCGCCGGTCAAAGGTTCGCCGGAATAGTGACCGGGAAAACCAGTTCGCCGGAGAAGACGACACTGTAGCGCCGGAGCTTTGCCGGAGAAGACGACACTGTACGCCGGAGCCTTGCCGGAGAAGACGACACTGTACGCCGGAGACCTGCCGGAGAAGACGACACTGTAGCGACACTGTAGCGTCACTGTAGCAGAATTTGAAAAACTCAGATTTGGTCCCTGAAGTTTCAAAAAATTGCAAAGACCGGTCCTGAAGTTCCAGAAAATTGCAAGACAGGTCCCTGAAGTTTCAGAAAATTGCAAGACAGGTCCCTGTTCTTTCAGAAAATTGCAAAAATGGCAGAAGATGGTAAAATCAAAATTGACAAGTTTGATGGAACCGATTATGGATTTGGAAGATGCAAATTGAAGATATGTTGTATCAGAAAAGTTTGCATTTGCCTATGTTGGGCGAACAACCGGATGACATGTATGATGAAGAATGGAAGTTGTTGGATCGACAAGCCTTGGGTGTAGTTAGGCTTTCATTGGCAAAGAGTGTTGCGTATAACATTGTTAATGAAACAACTACTTATGGAGTATTTAAGGCTTTGTCCAACATGTACGAGAAGCCGTCCGCTTCCAACAAAGTGTTCCTCATCAAACAATTGGTTAACACCAAAATGAAGGAAGGCATGTCAGTTACCGCTCACATAAACAAGTTTAACTCGATTATCTCTCGTTTAGCCTCAGTTGCAATAAAGTTTGAAGATGAAGTACAAGCGCTCCTCCTTTTATCATCTTTGCCCGATAGTTGGTCAGGCACCGTCAAGCTGTGTAGTAGTGCATCCGGCACTATTAAACTCACTTTCGAGAGTATTCGTGACTTGATTGTAAATGAAGATATCAGACGGAGAAGCAATGGTGAGACTTCTAGTTCTAGTTCTAGTTCTTTATTGCATACAGAAAGTAGAGGAAGAAGAAACGAAAGAGGACGTAGTCGAGGCAGATCAAAGTCCAGAAAAAGGGGGCAGTCCAAGAACCGAAAAGATATTGAATGTTGGAATTGCAAAGAAAAGGGTCACTTTAGAAGCCAATGCCCAAAACTACCAGCTGAAAGAAAGAAGTAAACAATGTATCCTCTGAAGAATCGGGAGATTTTCTCATATGCTGTGTTGAGAATTCAGTGGAATCCTGGATTATGGATTGGGTGCTTCTTTCCATGCCGTCTCATGCCCAGATATGGTCAAGAACCTACAAACAGGTGATCTTGGCAAAGTTCGTTTGGCCGATGATCAAGTGCTTGATGTTACGGGTATTGGGGACGTAGATTTGAAGACCTCCATGGGAACCACCTGGACATTGAAAGATGTCAGGGTTATCCCAAACTTAAGGAGAAAGTTGATTTCAGTTGGTAAGTTGGATGATGAAGGACTTGATATTCACTTTGGGGGTGGACAATGGAAAGTGATCAAAGGCAACTTGGTGATTGCCAAAGGAAAGAAGAAAGGCACTCTATACATGGTAGAGATACCTGGTGATGGTGTTCATGCAGTAACCACCAATCCGAGTCCATCTAATTTATGGCACCAACGACTCGGACACATGAGCGATAAGGGATTGAAGATGTTGGCTCAGAAAGGAAAGTTTCCAGACTTGAAGAAAGTCGAAACTGAATTTTGTGAATCTTGTGTTCTCGGGAAACAAAAGCGGGTTACTTTTGTAAAAACGGGGAAGACACCGAAAGCTCAGAAGTTGGAGCTTGTTCACTCGGATGTATTTGGACCAACACCAGTTTCATCTCTAGGAGGCAAAAAACTACTATGTAACCTTATCGATGATTCAACACGCAAGGTATGGGTCTATTTTCTTAAAAATAAATCTGATGTATTTGATACTTTTAAGATATGGAAATCTGCTGTTGAAAATGAAACTGATTTGAAGGTAAAATGCCTGAAGTCGGATAATGGTGGTGAATACATAAGCAAGGAGTTTGTTGACTATTGTGCCAAGCAAGGGATAAAGATGATCAAGACGGTCCCAGGAACCCCTCAGCAGAATGGTGTAGCTGAAAGAATGAATAGAACTCTGAATGAAAGGGCTAGAAGCATGAGGTTGAATTCTGGTTTACCTAAGACATTTTGGGCTGATGCAGTTAATACTGCAGCCTACTTGATCAACCGTTC